AACAACAGTGTATACAGATATGGATATATATATTTGTTATGTTCTAATGAGTCAGAATCAACTCAAAGCTTAACCTCTAAGGGCTTTTCAAAGGCAATCAGTTTCACAGGAGAAATTATGGATTGTGTCTTAAAATCAAGAAGACAAAAGTCTTTACCACTGGGCCACTGGGCAACATCATGATAGATGGAGAAAATATGGAAACAGTTAATGTTTTCATCTTGCTTGGATCCACAGTCAACATTCTTGGTATCAGCAGTCAGGAGATAAGGAGAGGTTTTTGCTTTGGGCAAGTCCACTGTCAGGGATTTCCCCCAAACACTGTAGAGCTATGATATCAGTCCCTGGAGGCAAGGATTTTAAAGCTCTGTCCCACATACTTTGGGCACATGGCCAGGAGGGATCAGTCCTTGGAGAGGGACATCATGTTTGGAAGATGGAGAGACAGCGCAGGAGAGGAAGACCCAGGATGAGATGGATTGACTCAGTGACTGGAGAAATGGAATTAGATCTGTCAGAGACTCTGGTTTTGGCTCAGAATAGGGCAGAGATCAGAGCTATCACGGACATAGGATTTCTAGGAATCGCAGGCCACTTAATGATGCATAACAACAGCAACAATATGCCTGATTCAAGCCATGGGCTTTTCAATTACTTGCTATACATCATCGAAGGGCTAGGCGATGAATAAGGATGATAGAAAAAGGGTCGATGCCGTTGAATTGTGATGTGGTGTGGTGTGGTGTGGTGTGGTGTGGTGTGGTGAAGATCCCCTGGACAGCCAAAAGAACAAACAGGTATGACTTAGAAAAGGCGTGGCTGGAGTACTCTTTGGAGGAGGACAAAGTTGTAGCTGATCCTACAACCTTTCAAGCAAAATATCCTTTTCCAAGAAATAGCCTCTCCTAGCAACGTATCCAAAGTATGAGAGGCTATTTCTTGGAAAAGGATAACTTGCTTGGAAAGGTGAAGGGTCAGGGAATGAGAGGAAGACCTCCAGTGAGGTGGATTGACACAGTGCCT